TGGAATCCTGTTATAATTTGTTATATGCTGTCAGTGATTTGTAAAAGTGTATCATGGAAAGCAGAAAAAGATAAACTAATCTGAACATAACCTGTAGAAAGCCTAAATGATCAGATAGAGGCATAATCTTTCACCTTGTTTCAGTCGAGTCAAGAGCCTAATTTGGTGCCTCTTTGGGTGTGAGCAAGTTAGCACCACATGGCTGATATGCATTATACGCACCCAGAAGTAGTGACATAACATTTTTCGAAGTCATCAAAGAAAATATGGCATAGATATCTTTTTCATGTAATATTCTATAAGCTGGCAGGAGACTTGAAATCAAAGTGAATAGAATGCTAGTATCTTCAGAAAATATGAGTGGTTTCACATTGTCATGTCCTTGTTGGACATATATATTGTGGCATGTGGTAGGTCTGCAGGCTTATGACATAATTGGTCTGTGTTGGACCATTTTGGGTCTCATCATACTTCGCTATACCTTTTCAGTTCATTATCTGGAACTATTTCCTTTTAATTCACATGCTTTGAGGTGCTCGACTCAAGCTAACCTAGAAATGCATTCTTTAATGTCAATCTCATCAATACATCAAGTAGATCCAGCATGTCTCTGGAGCTCAGTTTAGGTAAAATTTTTAATTATGTGCTATCATATTCCTCATATGAATCCTTGAATAATTTGCAGTTTTATTCGGCTTCTTTTACAGAAGATCTTTGTCAAGTTGTCAGCCATGTTTCAACACGCTATCCCAAGTCAAAAATATATGCTGTTGGTTGGTCTCTTGGAGCAAATATTCTTGTTCGCTATCTTGGTCAGGTAAAATACAGTTCATCTCCTTTCTAAAGATTGTATGTTAATTTTCATATACGTTAATAAGCAATATTTGTGACATTTTTTAAAAATGTCTTCCACAATGAGATCTATGGAAAAACTGATAATACTAATGACTTTTGCTTATTTCAGGAATCTCAAAACTGTCCTCTTTCTGGGGCAGTGTCCTTATGCAATCCATTTAATTTAGTAATTGCAGATGAGGATTTCCACAAAGGCTTCAATAATGTATATGATAAAGCTCTTGCAAGAGCCCTACGAGAAATCTTCAAAAAGTAAAACTTGATTTATTTTCATTTTGCATTACAAATAACTATAGTTTCAGATAATATTTAGTTGAAACACACTTCCTTCGTCTCAAATCCTGCAGGCATGCACTTCTTTTCGAAGGTCTTGGTGGTGAATACAATATCCTGATGGCGGCTAATGCAAGGTCTGTCAGGGAGTTTGATGAAGGATTAACACGTGGTCTGTATCTCTTAATGCTAAAATGCCATTTTCATTTTAGTTGAAGGTTTAGTTATAAGAATGAGAATATTTTGTGATCCTTTGCAGTGTCATTTGGTTTCAAATCAGTGGATGATTATTACTTTAACTCAAGCAGTTCAAGTTCAATTGGATGTGTATGCACACCTTTGCTATGCATACAGGTAAAATTGAGATCTTCAAAATACATAACTTCAGCCATCTATTCTCAAAGGTTCACTTTAATTTTTATTCTTCTTCATTTTATCTTTTTAGCACAACTTTCAATCTTGAGTTGTATGATTCACTATAAAGTATAAAGAAATCGCAAGATTCAGCAAGTTTACTATTAAATCATGGTTTTTGCAGAAGGTATTTAAAAAGGGTTACATCAGGTAGTAGTTTTTGCTATATAATAACATTTTTCCGGCACCGAAATTTTGTAAGCAATTATGATTGGTTCTAAGTGTCCATTGGATAAACACATTATGAAATTTTCATGATTTGGTCCATAATCTGGTAAGTTCCTTTTGTCATGTAATATTTTTTTTCCCAACTTATGTGCAGGCAGCTAATGATCCAATTGCACCATCTAGAGGAATTCCTCGGGAAGAAATTAAGGTAGAAGCTATCAGTTCTTTTGTTTACCAGAAGGGCAATCCTATATGCAAGCAATGTGTCATCTGAACATTCTTCTCTTTTTCATGATATAGCTAATATGAGCTGGTTTCTAGTTTCTTGCATTATCATCATCAGTTATCATTCTCATCGATGATGAAATGTTTTTGCTCTTTCGATAATTTTCAAGTTTATCCTGAACTGCAACTAGTATCATGATCTTTCATCCAAATTATTGAGGATTCACCCAGTTATTTGCTGTCATGCCATCTTTCCTTTGCTATATCGTCATCTAACTACTGTCCCAAATTGCATATGTTAAGATGTTATGTCCCTGTTCATGTATGCTCGGTGTCATTTTTCTCGACACTGTCTCAGATATTTGTTTGATGTTTTGAAGGAAAATCCAAACTGCCTATTAATTGTAACTCCACAAGGTGGTCATCTCGGGTGGGTAGCGGGGGATGAAACTCCATTTGGAGCTCCTTGGACTGATCATGTGGTTATGGAATTTCTGGAATACGTCAACGAAGAAAATGTCCAGAAAGCTGAAGCTGGCCAATTTGATCAATTGGATGCTTCTCAACAATCTCCATCTTCTGTATCTATACGTGTACAATGATTCACACCATCGTATTGTTCAATTTATTAGTCGTGCCATTGCACCTAAGCATTTTGATTTCTATTTGAAGTTACTGTGCAAATGATCCAAGGGACCTCATTCGATCAAACAATATTAGGCCCTTATTTTACTCTTTATGCATGAACTATTTTGTCAGATTAAATGGATGTGTCTCGATTATCTCATTATGTTGGACTTGGTATCTGATGTTTTCATAATGTCTTATGATGACTCTTGAGAACTTTCAGCCATATGAACCAAACTGATGCAGATGGCTCATACAAGGGAGTTAGTTCTATATCAAACCAACATACAGTGATCTAAGCTTTTATTCTCTATATGTGCATCTAACCCTTCTCTTTGGTGAGCACTGTAGTGTTTTCCATTTATTTATATGCATTACATTTCACCAACTTTATAAAGATTCACATCTACTAAGTATGTTTCAGGTTATCCAGCAACAGACATCAGCATGGTCCATTTAGAGAACCCACAGGAGCCAAATCAAGGCATGAATCAATTCTACACAGCAGGACAAAGCAAAGAATCAGACTTGTACTCTAAAAGCTTGACAGGGGCAGAAACTAATTGAAGAAATTGGCATTCTACAGTGCAATCATTGAATGAGAACTTTACTCCATGCTTACAAGGGGACAAAACTAAGCCAATTACAGATCTGATGAACCTCTCCGCTGCGTTCACTTTGAACAAGCCAGGGGGAAAAGTAGCAAGATTTCACTGAGTCTGACTCGGATTTTAGTCCTTTGTGAAGGTATGAGACAGACTTGGCTGCTGTCAATGACACTGACAAAACCAAGGATATTACTATGAAGAGTCACATGCATTTACCACAATTTCTATGATTCGTAATTTTCAATTGATTGATCATATAGTAGCCAATGATGCCATGATAAAATGTCAGGTACACCATTCTCTTCCTTTTTTTTATTCCAATAAAATAGAAAAAGTGTTTTTTTTTTTTTTTACTTTTCTTGCATTTGCAATGCTAGAATGATTTTTGGTGACTTGAGCAAGCGATCCGAAGAATTATTTTGAAGCAGTTTTCTTTTTGTTTCTCGAGAAAAAAATTAGAGAACATCTTTTTTCAAAAAAAAAAATTTTCTGCCAACCAAATAACATAGAAATATTTTTCCAAGAAAAATTTAGTAACACTCCATGCAAACCGAATAACATATATAATTATGGTTTTATGCATTTTTATTTATAGAGAGGCCGATTAGGCTATCGATTGATTAGCCAACATTATTGAGATGCAGACTTGAAAAAACTCATAAATGGATTACTGTTGTTGATCCATAGATTGCATTTTAGGCATGAGTTGTCTGATATATATTTTTTTCTTTTACTCTGAAAATTCAAACTATTTTATGAATACTAACTAGTCAAGTATTCATTTTTCGTAGAACTTGTATGATCGAGAAAAATGTTGAAGCTCATGAATGATCCAACAATAACCTCTGATACCGGAGGAATAATGCTGAGAATTAAACTGCAGGTGAATGATGAAAGTTTCTTCAACAAGATTTACTCTTCCAACCTTCAAATGCAATCATCTATTTCCATTATTAGGGTTCAGATTTGATGTACTGCTATCTGTATTTACGAGCTCACTTGAGACGATTTATCAAGTAGAAAACATGAGAATTTTCTCCTATTTGATTCCAAGAGGAAAAAGTGTTTCGACCGTCGTTTGTGGATATGCAATCAGCAGCATATCATGGTTTAATCTGTTCTTGATGAATGCCCATGGCGTGTGATCTCAGAACAAAAGACAAAAACTGGAGGACAAATGCTTCATTTCCAAGGAATCTCGAGCTGCATCAATAACACTAGCAGTGCTGCCTGTGCTCTTGCTACCTGATGCCGAAATGCTGGCCGGGAGACAGAAGATGAAACGATAGAGAATGAATGACCAGCGGAAGCAACAATTGTTTGCAGTGGCAAAGCGAGCAAGTCATGGATTCCTCAACTCAGTGTTCGACACTGTTTCGCTTCCTTCGTCGGTGGCGCTCTTACTGCTATCACCAGCTAATGCTTGAGACCAGTGAAGCAGAAGAATAAGAAGAAGAAGAATAAGAGCAAAAGAGTTGTCAAAGCTCGTTGCTCGTTTCACGCCCTGAGTTGGATCCAAAAGGGCGAGGTTTTCTATGAGAGCAAAAGCAGCAAGAGGAAGGTTGTCAGGTGATGGAAGGAAGCGAGCCTTAAGGCATCCAATGCATGACGTAAACCCTAACCCTAGTAATGTTTGAACAAAGGTCGACAGGCTTACACTGTCCTCCCACAGCCCTTAGTAGCTTTTATTGTCTTTCTATCATGGAATTAATGTACAAGAATAGTCCCAAAAAAGAGGTTACAAAATTGCTTTGTGTTACGGGAAATTGCACAGAGTTCCTCTTTTGATCCTTTACATTTCATGTTACGAAGCTTTGGAAGCTGAAACCGGCATCATCAACCTTGCTTTTATGAGCTATATTAGTGCTATTCGGCACCAAAAAGAGACTGTGACGATGGATGTACGCTAACATATATTGTGCATGAAGAGACAGAAAAGCTCGGTTTCGATTATGCTACCACCTCACCTCGCTCACAGATCTCCAGAAAACTTGTTTGCATGCTTGGAGCTGTATCACATCATGTGATATGTCAGTGGTCGTACCAAAGATGAGTAAATTACAGAAAGAAAGGAGAAAAGATGAGAATGATTAGAATACCATGCATTGCACCACAAGATCTGATAAGATTATGTGGTACTCATGCTCGCTATGTCAAAGCCAATCGAGACAAAGCGATGGAACATATACACACATCCCCATCAGAGCCAGCCATGACTGCAGAAACGAGCTCACATTCCGTCGAATAGTCTGTAAGAAACAGTGGGTCAAGAACACCTATGTAGATCTGTATCTTCTGAAAAGCTCTTTGTGCATCGATGAGGAAAATAGTCGATGGAAGATCGAGTGTTGTTGGTGAGACGTGAAGCAAATCAAAACACGGTGGTAAAGAGTAAGGCAGAGTCTTCGATCTACACGGGCGGTCTGCGACGGACAAACCTACATGTCTATTTCCAGATTCTGTATCTGAAGATGGACATAAATCTTTTTGAGGATAGTATCTGATTCTTTCCGAAGGCAATGACAAGGCAATGATGAAGCCCTTTTCGACTTCCTCCTGTCAGAGAACAAAGGAAATAAAGTCAACACAAGACACAAAGGAGGAGGAGTAGGTCAAGAGCCCTCATCATTACACCAATCTGCTTCTCCTTGCCGCCTCGGTGGATCGCCAGAGAACAAACAAAACCCAAGTTAGAAACAAGGAAGCAAAGAGGAAAAGACCATGATCCAAAAAACATGAAGATCGACACATCAAAAGCCCGCGTGTGGATCACGATGAGCTGCGACTACCATTTGCAGTTTGCTGTGGTGGAGTTTCGGAAGCTACGATTGGGGGGAATGAAGCCTGGTCCGAGATCCCTAAGAGAACAACAAGAGATGAAAGCAACATCTCTTGCTCTCCGGTTACAGGTGCCTCGAGCCAGACAACATTCCCCTCAAAGGAAAAGCTTCCTCTTTCTTCTTCTTCTTCTTCTTCTTCTTCTTCTCCTTTCTCCCCCTGAACTCTCGGCTTTCATGGATATAGAGAGGTAGAACCGAGAGAGAGAGAGAGAGAGACCGCTGATGATAGGTGAAATGATTACCTTAGAGAGAGAGAGAGAGAGAGAGTAGTAG